ACTACATTGCCCATCAACCCCTGCATCATTTTGATGAACAATAATAACTGGCCTAATATCCCAGAGGCTCAAAGCTAGACTGAGTATCATATAACCATATCTAATCTTAGCCTGAATGCTAAACCCTGATTATTAGACCATGGTAAGTGCTTCACAGTGTGTCTTTAACAACACAATCACAGATTAGTGCAAAATCATTAACGGAAAGTAAACTATGCAGTCAAATGTTTGGCCCATCTACTAGGCTTATCTCCACCCCCATAATGCTTTATGTACTTGAGCCTAATTGAATAAAAAAAGGATAGATGTGGGATTCATTTTGGAGGAATAGAGAAAGTGGAGGTCTCAAAGAATAGTCAGGGCTCATCGTTCAATGTATCATCGTACAGTATATGTCGGCTGAGTCTGTATATGCAGACACATTTGCTCTGACTGTGAGAGTATGTGTGAGAATATGTACACGTAGGGGCAATTGAGTTATATTGAGACTGGGCTCATCTTCCAGAAAGCTGAAAATAGACACGCTCATCATGGCCATGCCAAAAAGGACACACTTTAAGGCAGACAGAAACACTACAGAATTTAATTTGTATCGGAAAATACACTGTAGATCGTTTAAAATCCGATAGCTACATTATAAACACTTGTGTTCATTATATAAATCAATGGAGAATAGCGTCACACAGCGCCAATACCATCACAATCAGTTATGGTTTAAGTTCTGAAATCACAGCACACATGTTCAATCAAAGGTCATTAAGGAAAGGACCCCAATTGCAGAATAGGATATTTCATAATATGACAATATTTGTAATTTTAATATTATTTCAAACACATGTGTGTTCATGTACTCACTCTACTCTGTGCTCTAGGGTCTCCAGTCTCAGCTTTCTCCAGGAGCTCCTCAAAAGGCAGATCTTCATCCATATCATCTACGAGAGATAACAGTCACTCATTTATGATTATGTGAACACTATGGTGACCCAATACTGAACTTGAAGTCTTAATGAGTCCACAAATCCTCTAAATAATTCAACTATGCTCATCTTTGCAAAAAAATGTGTAAATCCTGCTAGTTAGATCATAATTAATGCTGAATAAAGTTACAGAACAATCCAATAATTACTATTTTTAATTTTAAAAAAATAATGTTTTGAATGGAAACAGGAGCTTGAGTATGATTTTACTGAACATAGTTTATCTATAGATTCCTGGCAACTGGGTTGTTTACTTGATTCTGTGTTATTGATTTAATCATGGCCTCAATATAGTAAATAGGTTGCAGCTGAAGGGATCTTCAAAGTTAACGTCTCCATTACCTTCTGACACTATAGGCTGAAACCAAGCCACAAAAGCAAAACCAGGCCATGAGTAAATAAATGTACCCCTTAGATTTTCAAGTGAGAGGTGGATCTATTTCTTGAACACTGACATCCTAATAAAGCGCATTGGTTTGTGATAAAAATAGGATTTATGTTCTTGGTGAAAATAAAGCTAGCACACACTAGCATGTGTCAGTAGCCCAGTCATGTCTCACTGATTACCCTCATTTGGATGCATTGCTTTAGTGTCATTCATAATGAATGTATGTCAAGAAACTACAATTAATATGGTACTATCAAAAAATATCAAACATAACAAGCCTGTTTGATTTTTGACAAGGTAAATATTTGAAATAATTTCAAAGAGTTAAATACAACAAAGAAATCTGAAATTGGATCATACAAAAACTATTTTAACTTTTTTAGCAGATTGTCCTTCAGCTTTCTTTGTTATGCAAAGCTTCACTTACCACATTCTTCAGCCTTGGCCTCTTCCTCAGCCTTTCTTATTTTCTCCTGCATCATCACCTTTTGGGCTGCAGCCAAAAAGCTCCGTTGACGTGGGATTGATGAACCCACTGCAGGTATTTTGGTGGAGGACAGTGAACCTTCAGGAGGAGATGTAGATTGTGTAGGATCAGCAGAAGTGGTGATGCTGGGTGTGGATGGATCATCGGGAGAAGATAATGTTGATTTTGATAATGATGATGATGTTGTAGCTGGCATAGTTGGAGTAGTTTTAGAGATATGTGATGATGTAGGGGCAGGTTTCGGTGTTGCTGGTTTTTCAGCTGTTGATCTGGCTGGAAGGTTTGAGGTTTTAACATTAGTTTGTTTTAATTTAGTATCTTGACTTGAAGAAGGGGTGGATTTAGGTGGTTGGTCTGGGCTGCCAGAACTGGAGAGGGGGGGACCCGCCATCTCAGTGCCTGGAATGGATTTAGTTGATGGAAAAGGAGGGTTGAGACTTTTGTGGGTTGCACTTTTCTCCTTGAGAGTCTCAGGAGATGGTGGTGGGTTAGCACTAACATCCTTCTCACCTAAAAGACAACAAACAAAGTGCAAAGACATAATGTTTCCAAAGAGCACCAGTATTTTTTTTCACATCATATTTATGTGTTCTTACACAATTGGTTAACCTACCAACTTCATAACATGCTTTTGACATCTAAACTCCACTACATACACCACACAAATGTATACAGTGTATATCAGCTTACAAAGAATAACTTAATCACTTACATATTTAATTAGCCTGTATAAATAACCAAATTCATCACATGGTTTTCACATGTTAACTGTATTTTATATACATTTTGATAACCTATTATATACCAAATAAATGTGTGTACACAATATTATGTTTTGACAGACCTTAGAGAATAACTGCTGAAATTAAAGGTAGTTTTAGTACTCAAAAGAAAAGAAAAGTGAATCAAAACAACTTACTCATTTAAGCTGAATGAACAGTCTTCCTCAATATATGGCGTAACACAACGAAAATAAACTCTTTTAAAAGTTTTCTGTGCTGTCCACACATAACAGTTCTGTGAAACCAGAGCCCCACTAAGGAATCGCAGTTGTTAAAGCCCACCATACCTCCAGAGAACGAGCTTCGATTGGATAATTCAAGTGCCAATCAAAGAGTTCCTCTCTGATTGGATAGGACTCGAGCCGTCAGTGAATGGCATTGCCCAAAGGATTGTCATCATCCCACTTAATTTGGATTCGCATGACAAAACGCATCAGTCTTACTGTGCCGAAAGACTAGGGGTAAGTTTAGAATAGCGTAAAATAATAACTGTGACCCTTTTTTATCTTGAACAATTAATGAAGGAGGTTCAGTGAATGAACGTCGGTTAGACCTATGGGCAGCCACTAGATGTCAATGAAGTAATAACAATATATTTTTGCTGGCACAGTGGTGTTCACAGAAGACGCAGATTGTAGTGTTGTTGCGGGACGCTCGCGCAGCTACAAATGTTCATTACACCCCATGCTATTTGTGAAACAAAGATGAAAAAGGAGGAGATACTAGGGACCAAGGCTAGACTGAACAGTGGTTGGGGGTTTTGATTTGATTCATATCAACTGAATCTTTTGAATCTATTCTGTTTACGAAACATCCGTTAAAGGTCCCCTGAAGTGCCTTGAAACAAGCAGCCAGTGTTATTCTATGTTGTGACGTAATTTCAACTGAAACAGGAAGACAGGGCGGGACATATCGAGCAGCCCCGCCCCTTTTTAAATTAGCCAATAGCGTTTTGTTTATATCTGCACGGGTCAGAGGGAGCCGTTGAGCTCGGTAAAACCGCATTTGACAGCCACAGTCTAATAGTTAACCCCTAGATTCAATATGAAACTCTTAGTAAAACAAAATAGTGATCATAATCATGCTGAGGCTGTGTAGTTTTAAAAGTGTTTAATATATGCCGACTCGCGCATATGATCGCTCCGTGTGATCTCGTCTTTGGACCGGAGCCAAAAGTCCGGATCAGACTGTGTGCGCTACCTCCGTTCGCGTGACACAAGGTGAAACCAGACCTCATTTGTCTGAATCGTTCCCTCTCGCCTACATTGTGCACTATGTGCCATTCACTGTACAGGAAATACTACACTGTGAACTATGGAAGGCCGTAAGGGCCAAAACGTGTGGAACTAACGCGTTAACATGCGATTGCGCATTAACACGTAATTTACGCATTAACATGCGATTACTCGTTAATGCGTAAATTACGTGTTAACGCGTTAGTACCACACGTTTTGGCCCTAACGGCCTTCCATAGTGAACAAGCGACCGATCTCAGCCGCAGCTTCAGTCCATTTTATAGTGTAGGGGGCGGGCGCTTCGGCTTCTAGAGAGCGTTTGATTGGTCAGAAGATTTGATGAGATGATGAAGTATGATATGACGTCAAAAAAAATGGTTGAGCCGTTTTGGCGGAAGTGACGAACTAAAAGCTTTGAATGCTTATGTCTTCTAAATGCGAATTTCGTCACTGTTTTGGAGCACACTGCCTTATAGATAACCTTAAGACTAACATATTGATATTAACACCCAAAAAAACTTTCATTTTGATTTCATGGGGACTTTAAGAACCATTAAAACCTACTAATTCCATCCCAACAGAATGATAATTTTCTGTTTATTATAAACGCGATGTTATGTTGTTTGCTGGTTTAAATGCTCGAGCTCTTTAAAGTTGATGGATTCTGATTGGCTGTCCATTTTTGACGTGAACATCAGCTGTAAAAATCGTTCTGAAAGTGATTCCAGTGACTTCCCCTCATAGAATTTGAAAAATTATATTCTATAAGCTATAGTTGTCGTTATATCGGTTTTAGTGCAATCGGGCATTTACGCCAGTAGGTGGCAACAAGTGTGTTTTTTGTTATGAAGAAGTCATTCATTCACTCAACCTATTCGTTAAAAACAGTTGTAGGCCTACATGGTTGAAAAGTGTGACTCCAGACATCATAAAAAATTATTCCAAAGCAGTCACGTGTTGAAACGGGAGAGACTTCACTTCAGTGAAAACATAAGTCAAAAATATATAGGCTATATAGGCTAATGCGTGTAAATAAACAATTTCATTTGAAAGATTCGTTGACGAAACACCACTACAGCTCGCAGAGTTCCCAGACTGGTAGTTTTATGCCAGGCAGTGCAGCTGACTGCAGTGTTTTTGCGCATCTGCACGCACTTTCGGATGGAGGATGGCAGTCACTGCATTGCCCAAATCTTCAGTTCGACAAAATAAACAGAAAAAAAAACATTGATATAGGTCTAAATTAAAATGTTCAGAGAGAACTGGATCTGAGGATGCAATTTTATTCGGACTAGCTCATAAAAAACGCGTTATTTTAGGCTATCAGACTGTCTGGAAAGTAGTAGATCGCAGCATCATTATCAGTCTGCAAGCTGCGAGCTCCGCATCCCCAGGCAAACCAAGGCTGACCTGGTTTTCTGCACTGGCATCTCGCTTCATCATTGTATTAGAGCATCATCTCCCTCCTATGAGTGATGTCGGACTGTAGGCGACAGTGGAACCGGGAGGATGAGCTCCCTGTGTATCTGGCTAAACCCATCTCGGCCGGACCCAACCAGCGTCACAAGTCTCACGGAATGTTTAGCTCCGTCGAGGGCGCGTATGATAGCAAGACTATCGATTTTGACCAGTACGCCGTAGGGAGGAAGGGGAACAGGAGCTCACGGAGCAGTAGCAGGGAACGCGTCGTGGATGGGGACTTTGAAGCTTATGAGATCAGCGGGGGGACCATCAGCTCCCCGGGTGAGAGAGACGACGGGCGTCAGGGTGTCGAAATCACGGATCAGACTGAAAAGGAATGTCGTTATGAGCAAAACAACGGGAAGGTGGGCTTAAATATCATGCGTGACCATTTTCGGAGGATTTGAACCTTAAACCATGCAAGTAGGCTACACAAGGTTAAAATTTGCGCATAAAAGAATAACAACATCTATTTGTAAAGCATAGAATGAACGCATAGCCTAAGGCTATAGGCTACGTTCTGACATAAATTGCGAAAGTAAACCTTAGTTAACTGTTACCATACTTAATATGATTTTAAAAAAGAAACAAAATGTACAATCAAATGCTGGAATTTTATCAGGCCTACAATAAGAAAACAAACAAATAAAATTGCCCATTTTAGCCTATTATGCGAAAGTAAATCCTTATACTTGGAAAAAACATACTAAGATATAAAATCCAATAACCTACTGTAATTTTACTATAAGAAAACCAAAAATAACACTTCAAAAGTTGAATTAGTCTGCCAAAAAAAAATTCCTTTATGCAGCATCTTAAAAAATATATATTAATTCATAGTTTTACTGGAATGTTATTTGGTTTATATTATATATAATATAATTACTTTATATTAAGTGGCCTTAACTACATCAAAATTAAGTACTTATTGTGTTCATATTGTATTGCAAAACACTTGTACTATTGAGGTGGGATACGGGTAAAATTAGGGACAGGTTTGGTGGTATGGGTTAAATAAATTGTAATTACAGAAATTAATTACAGATGTAGTTACATGCAGGTATTCCAAAGAATGTAAAATGTCCAGTTTGCTTAATGTTAACGTTATTTCAAAACAATTAATTCAAATTTAGAAATCTATTTGAAATAATTGTCTACTGTTTGCTGACATTTACTTTGAAGAAGGATTTATGCTCATGCACAAGCAAATATTATTAATATGAATTATATGATTTTCATGTATAAAGGCCCATTCATACTGGTGCGTGAACACTTATGAGGTAGATTATGCAGATTTGTTTTTCTTTCTGTTCTGTTGTGTAAATGTTCTGTTAAAAAAACTGTGGCAATCAATAGAATGAAATAATGCTTAATTGCATCATATTGCATAACATGTTCAATTTGGCATCATATGAAGTTCTCCTGTGGCATCAGGCCATTAAAACCTTTTTATAACTTTTTTGTTTCAACTGCACACCTGTATTTTGGTCTGTCGTGTAATATAGTGCATGTGTAGTACATAATGTGTTTGTGTAGTATGTAATGTGTTTGTAATGTATTCGTTTCCCATCTCGCCTTCAGACAGGTTGGGGAGAACCTGATTGTGCCGGGGGGCGTGAAGGTGATTGAGGCTAATGGGTGTAAGGTGATTCCTGGAGGTATTGATGTGAACACCTGCCTGCATAAGCCTTACTTGGGCACTCCACCTGTGGATGACTTCTACCAGGGCACCAAAGCTGCTCTGGCAGGAGGAACCACCATGATCAGTAAGTCTGCATGAATTGTTAATCTGGCATTTAAAAAAAAATAATAATTTAGAAAGTTTTTCTTAAAGGGGTCATATGATGCGATTTCAAGTTTTCCTTTCTCTTTGGAGTGTTACAACCTGATTGTGCATAGATAAGATCCCTGAAGTTGCAAAGACTAAAGTCTCAAAACCAAAGAGATATTCTTTATCAAAGTTAAGACTCCGCCACGCCCCCCTAAAACGGCTCGTTCTAACACGCCCCCACATATCTACCTCACTATGTGGAAATATTTGCATAATGCCGCCCAAATGTTCACGCAAAGAAAGAAGGCGTGGTTTCAGTAACCGCAGTTAATGTTGAAGCAGCCATGTCAGGGAGCCGCTGTGTGTTCCTAGGCAAAAGCAAAAGCACTTTATTTGGCCTTCCGAAAGTAGATGCATTTAGGAATCTTTAAGATGACTATTTAAATTAAGATTTGCTATTGACTGTTCAAATGCGGAGCTTTGCGCATTGTGTGTGTGTGTGTGCGCGAGTGAGAGAGCGAGAGAGGGGGCCACATCACAGTGGAGTCAGCTGTCTTAACCGTGGCTTGTGTACTGCAAACACATACCAGCTTCATCACTGTGTCTGTCACGCGACTCTGTTCCCCTTTCGGGCTCTGTCTTTACATTTATTTTGAAAGATGAAGCTTGCGATTATGGTAAGGGGTGTTACATTTCCGATAAGTGCTTGCAGTGTTCGGCCAATCACAATGCACTGGGTCAGCTGGCCAATCAGAGCAGACTGCGCTTGTCGGAAGGCGGGACTTTGTAGAAAACTAAGCGTTTGAGAGAGGAGGGGCATACAGGCCCTACAATAATGTACAGTATTTGAAAAATAATGTGTTTTTTGAACATTAAAGCTTGTCAACATATTCTGTTACACCAAATACACAAAATAATTATCTTTAAAAAAGCATCATATGACCCCTTTAAAAAAAGGACTAAAATGACATTTGATCTCAGGATGGTGGCAAAGGTTCAAGTATGTTGAATATTTAGGATGCAGTGCCAAATGTTCTGAGCAACTTCCTAGACTAGGACTCACTTGCATCTCCCTGTGAGAGCAAAGCAGTGTCCCAAATATGTCTGTTGTTGCTTGCTACAAGGACATGCCCTCGGTCGTGCATGTCAGCTATAGCCAGTCAGATTTTGCTTTCTCTAGCAGTCTGAGCTAAGAGTTTTTTTTATGGTTACAATAGCCAATTTTCTTTAAACAATGTATTAGAACTATTAGCTGTTGTGTGTGACACAAAGAAAGAAAAGTCTTCAAGGAACATCAGTAGAGTAATTTAGGACTAAAGCAGCAAAGTAACAGCATCTTCAACAGAAAATAATAGGAACTATTTAATAGAATCTTCAAAAGTCAACCAAAACATAAAATCTCAAACACATTTTGAGCAGAATCCATCATTTTCTGTTTCAGTTGACCATGTGACTCCACAGCCTGGTGACAGTCTTTTGGAGGCCTTTGAGAAGTGGCAGGAAGCGGCTGATAAAAAGTCCTGCTGTGATTATTCACTTCATGTGGACATCCCTCATTGGCATGAAGGTGTGAAGGAAGAGCTGGAACAGCTGGTACAGGAAAAAGGTGAACACATATTTAAAGATGTGACAGTATTTCCAAAGCTAAAAGTATTTCGTGCTTTTAAAGCCACATATCATGATCATACTGATGTTCCAAAGCCACATGTTGTCAATTTGGCCAATGTGCCAAATGCTGATGATTGTTTATTCACAACCGTTCAAATGTTTGGGGTTAGTCAATAAAAAAAAAGAACTTTTATTCACCAAGGACACAAGGACACAAAATTAATAGTAAAGACTTTAATGTTTAATGTTATCTTTGTAATGTTACAATTTTTTTTATTTCAAATAAATGTTTCTTTGCACTTTCTATTCATCAAGGATCCTGAAAAAATGTATGATGGGTTTCAAAAAATATTAAGCAGATCAACGGTTTTCAACATTGATAATAATAAGAAATATTTATTGAGCAGCAAATCAGCATATTAGAATAATTTCTGAAGGATCATGTGACACTGAAGACTAGAGTAATGGCTGCTGAAAAAAAAAACAAGCTTTACCATCAGAGGAATAAATTGCATTTTAAAATGTACTAAAATAGAAAACAGTTTTAAATTGCAATAATATTTCACAATATTACACTTTTACAGTTTTTTTTTAATCAAACAAATCCAGCCTTGGTGAGCATAAGAGAATTCTTTCAAAAAAATTAAACCATGTTACACACTCAAAACTTTTGAACGGTACTGTATTTTTTTCTGAAATGCATGTTAATGTTCTCTTCTTTTGGCAGGAATGAACTCTTTCCAAGTATACATGGCTTACAAAGGGTTATTTCAAATGACTGACTCTCAGGTTAGGTATCTATGCTTCCATCTATAGAACATCCTGTACTGTGATATAATAAAATAACTAATTTGATCTCTCTTTCTTTCTCTCGTCTAGTTGTATGAAGCATTCTCATTCCTTAAGGAGCTGGGGGCAGTGGTGCTAGTACACGCAGAGAATGGAGACCTAATAGCACAGGTACCTGTTGTTAAATGAGCAAATGCCATACAGAATTCAAACACACTCTTCTGCCACTTACTGTTTTTTCAATATTTGTGTTAAAGGAACAAAGCAAAATCTTGGGAATGGGCATCACTGGTCCGGAGGGCCACCCACTGAGCCGACCAGAGGAGGTGGGATCAATAAATTGGCAAACTGTTTAGAAGTTTAACTGAGTAACTGTTTATCCAGTCAGTTTCAGCAGAGTGAAGTGTCTTGATGTAATTGGATGTCTGTCTCACAGCTGGAGGCGGAGGCTGTTTTCCGTGCTATCACCCTTGGCAACCGAGTCAACTGCCCTGTCTACATCACCAAAGTGATGAGTAAAAGTGCAGCTGATACTGTGACCAATGCACGGAAGAAAGGTGACTGCATATTGTGAAATATTGTTGCATGCTGAATTCACAATTTAATATTCTTGAAAGTAGTCTCTCACACAGGCTGCATTTATTTGATCAAAAATACAGTAATTTTAAATTGTATTACAATATTTTCTATTTTAATATATTTTTAAATTTAATATATTAAAAAGTCTTCAGTGTCACGTGATCCTTCAAAAATCATTATAAATTGCTGATTTGCTGCTCAAGAAGCATTTCTTATTATTATCACCGTTGAAGACAGTTGTACTGCTCAATATGTTTGTGATTTTAAATAATTCTGAATTTATTTTAAAGAGTTCTTGTAACAATAATAAGACTTTACTGTCAAATTTGGTCAATTAATGCATCCTTGCCGAATAAAAGTATTAATTTCTTCCAAAAAAAAAATAAAAATCTTATTGACACCAAACTATAATGTAGTAGCATAAATGGTAGGTGTACTTAAAAAAAATTATTTATTGCAATGTCTAGCACAACTGGTTAATTTAAACAAACTTGAATATGCCAGTCCTACAATTTATGGACTTGTTCTCTTTATTTCCCTGGCTTTAGGCTCTGTTGTTTTTGGTGAGCCAATCACAGCCAGCTTAGCAACAGATGGATCTCACTATTGGAGCAAAAACTGGGCGAAAGCAGCAGCCTATGTGACCTCTCCACCCCTCAGCCCTGACCCGACAACACCTGACCACCTTCACTCTCTACTGGCCTGGTAAATAATTTTGAGTTATTTCGACATTTTTAGACATCTGTGACATTTGCACAGTTAGTGTAGATGCAGTGTAATACTGGAGTCCTTTGCCAAGTGGCACTATCTACCAATTTTTTATCTACTCTCTCCATTACTTTGGCTTTTTGTTACATCCAGACCGCAGACACACCTTTTCCTGGCCCCATTTCTAAAAATAGATCAGGCTTTCATCTCCTGTTGCCATGGTTATAACACTCTCCTCCTCCCTCCCCACCACACACTAACACACACACACACACACACACACACACACACATAACTTGCAGGCTGCTAGACTATGAGAGAGATCTCATTATGTTGACATCCACAGCCACACATACTTTCACATGTATGCACACACACACACACACACACTCACAGGCACAGAGATTCACACTCACACACACACACTGTCACATAGAGGCAGACCGACACAGCTGGAGAGAGGACATTTATTTTTAGCATAGATACATTAGTCGGGTCCAAAGGATGAGAGGAAATTCTAGAAAAAGATAAAAGATTATCTTTTAAGTATTAAACATTATGTGTAGGATGCAAAGACCAACGTTAGTTATATTGTGTAGATGTGTGGTGTTGCATTTTGGGATTTCAAAACATATCACCCCAGTCTGAATAATCTTTTCATAATTTCATCGTGTGCATCTTTTGTCCACATAACAGTCACACATATCCATAAGCATTACATCCTTTTGTATTGCAAATATTTAACTGAAGCTGACAATTGCAGTTGGGCCTGATTTTATGGTTAGTTCACATGAAGAAACCATTTCAGTGATACAGAAAAGACTGCAATTTACCTGATGCTGGTTGCTCAATAAGCAAATCTAGTGTAGGTTTAGTGGAAATGTCTTTAATAGTTAATGCTCAGTCGACTATCTCTTATAGTAGCTAAGCTGGTTGGTCAAAAGATAGAAGAGAAATTTGAGGACATGACCAATTAAAATAGCAAAGAGCTGTCATATACATCCCTCAGGTCTTTGAATTGTAATATCTATGGAGCTTGCAATGAATTTAAAATTGAGCAGTAAGTTTTTCATTTTAATTTTTTTTTTTTTTTATTAATACGTTTATTCAGCAAGGATTCATTAAAAGTGTCAGTTTATGTCACGGATGTTTCTGTTGAAAATGAATGCTGTTTATCTATTCATCAAAGAATCCTGAAAAAAAAAAGTATTGCTGTTTTTACAAAAATATGAAGCAGCACAACTGTTTTCAACACTGATACTAAGAAGTGTTTCTTAAGGAACCAAATTATCATATTAGAATGATTTCTGAAGGACTGGAGTCATTTAAAAAATAAAATCAGCATTTGTAATCACAGGAATAAATTACATTTTAAATATATTAAAATAACAAATAATTATTTTAAATTGTAATAATATTTCACAATATAACTTTTTTTAGTGTTGAATATATAAATGAATGCAGCCTTGGTGAGCATAAGAGAAAGAGACATTAAAATATCTTACCGACCCCAGACTTTTGAACAGTAGTGTACAATTCTTATGTAACCTCTTAATAAAAATATGGTCGCAAAGAACATCACAACTAGCTCTAGAGGGTGGATCATGTTCTTTTTGGAGCTGCTACCCCTCTAATTACATTTCTCTTAATCTTTCTTCAGTGGTGATCTGCAGGTCGTGGGTAGTGGACATTGTGCTTACAGCACCTCTCAAAAGGCCATAGGGAAGGACAACTTTACCCTTATACCCGAGGGAACCAATGGAGTGGAGGAGAGAATGGGTTTTGTTTGGGACAAAGCTGTGGTCAGTGCATCTGCATGTATGTTTATATGGATTGAGGTGCAGGTTGCATTTATCAGTCACCACTTAATTTGTTCCTTACAGGCTATGGGGAAGATGGATGAAAACCAGTTTGTTGCAGTTACAAGCACTAATGCAGCCAAAATCTTCAACCTGTACCCCCGTAAGGGTCGGATAGCAGTGGGTTCAGATGCTGACATTGTTATCTGGGACCCCGACAAGATCAAGACCATCACAACTAAAGCACAGCAGTCGGTGAGGACTGAAAATCTCTGCAAGATGCTGGAATATTGAATGATACTCTGGATGGCTTTTATTCAGTTATACGTATACATTTAATACTGCATTGTATATACCTGTAACAGGATGTTGAATTGTGCCACTCTAATACTTCAATTTTCAAACTACATTTTTTTTCTAAATCTAAATCTCTTTTAAACGCCTGCAAAATATTAATGGTGATTTTATATTTGATAAACAGGTGAAGATGTGTGAAAGAGAAAGGATTTTTTTCTTCTTTTGTTTCTAGGCTCTGGAGTACAATATTTTTGAGGGGATGGAGTGTCGTGGTGGTCCAGTGTATGTGGTCAGTCAGGGTAGGATTGTGTTTGAGGAAGGGAAGCTTCAGGTTCAGCAGGGGACTGGACGTTTCATCTCTCGCAAACCCTTCCCTGACATTGCCTACCAGCGCATTAAGTACCGCAACAAGGTATGACTCTTCTTTGATTAATTCACTGACCTTCACTCAGTCTCAGGTAGTTTTGGTGTATATATAAAACTATTGGTATATACCAGGGGTAGGCAAGTTCGGTCCTAGAGAGCCGCAGTCCTGCAGAGTTCAGCTCCAACCCTGAAAAAAAAACTCACCTGCCTATAGCCTTAGTAATCCTGAAGACATTGATTAAGCCATTAAAAATGTTGTGTTCAGTATGATTTTTAATGTTTTTAAAAGAATACTCTTATGCTCAGCAAGGCTGCATTTATCAGTACAGTAAAGTAAAAGCAGTAGTATTGTAAATGTATTGTTAACTAAAATAGCTGTTTTATATTTTAATATATTTTTTTATTTAATTTATTGCTTGTGTCACATGATCCTTCAGAAATCATTCTAAGATGACGATTTGATGCTCAATAAACATTTTTTATCAGTGTTGAGAATTGTTGTACTGCTTAATGTTTTTGTGGCAATAGTGATACTTTTTTCAGTGTGTTTGATGAATAGAAAGTTCAAAAGAACAGCATTTATTTGAAATAGAAATCACTTTATAAAGGTCTTTACTGGCAGTTTTAATCAATTTAATGCCTCCTTGCTGAATAAAAGTAATAATTTCTTTTAAAAAAAACGTACTGACACCAAGCCTTTTAACAATAGTGTAGTAACGTAAAGGTTCAGTATTTTCCAAGCATACATTTGCTAAATAATAACGTGGTAATAAGAATGATTGCTAGATGTGTTATTTGTTTTATAGTGCAAATACAAAGACTGGTAGAAATGAGTGTATTATCAAACTTTTAGGTTCATGTCTCAGTTTCTATTAGTAACACCAAACCTGTCGTTTACTGTTGTTTGGAAGGTGATGAGCAAGCAGGGAGTGTCTCGTGGGATGTATGATGGTCCAGTATATGATATCCCAGCAACACCCAAATATATAACCCCAGCACCCTCTGCCAAGACCTCACCCACTACACACCAGCCTCCACCAATCAGAAACTTGCATCAGTCTAACTTCAGCCTATCAGGTGAGGAGATTACCTTTTCTAATGAATATATTCCCCAGTATCCTCAATTCCTTTGAATAATGTATCAATTTATCAGTATTTTACAGCAATTGTATAATTTTTATGATTATTTCAATAATATTAGGGGCTCAAATAGATGACAACATTCCTCGGCGCTCTGGCCACCGCATTGTAGCACCCCCTGGTGGTCGTTCCAACATCACCAGCCTTGGTTGAGCACTTCTGCAGCTCTCATGTGACTTTGAGAGAGAGCGTGTGTGTGTGTGTGTGTGTGTGTGTGTGTGTGTGTGTGTGTGTGTGTGTGTGTGTGTGTGTGTGTGTGCGTGAGTATTATTACAGTTCTATCTGTTGACAAATAATCAGTATTCTCCTCTCACAGGGCCATGCTATAAAAGGTATTTGTGCAACGCATGCATGTCAAAATATCACTGTACCTTACCCGTGCAGTAAATGTCCCATCTACAGTCAATATTACTGTGTGCATTGTACACAATAGTCTCTCTGCTAAGACATACCTAGACAAATACCAATAGATAGCTAGACAATCACTAGAAAATACTTTAGATCTGTAACAAATTTCAGAAAAAGTAGCATTTAAACAATGCTAATATAACTACTCACATTTATTATTAAAGTTATGAGTTATGAAAACCCTCGTTCTGCTGATGTGACCCCAGTGTTTGTGAAAATGTCCTGCTTTAAAGCCCTGTGAAGCCGGTGACTAGACATCCCACAAAATGGTGCTCCTCCTACTGGACAACTTACAGAACTAAAGATGACTAGATAAAAGTGCTAGAATGCAGGTCTGAGATCAGTTTTGGCATAGATGTACCACTAATAAGTACATTCTAAAGCTGAGTGACGATCTGCTCTTACAAGCACTTTTAACTGTCATGTTCTCTGTGCTCTGAAACGTTTTTAATTCTGTGTTATCAGTCTATTTGTGGTAAAGAATGGTGATGGATTGTATTATCTCACTTTTAGATGTTGGTATTATTGACATCTGACCTTTTGATTCTTACACTCTTTATACTTTGAAGGATCATTTTTATCAGTTATCTTATCACATTTGAATTGTTTTACAAGAAAAATTTGTTATATCACTTATTATTTTCATTTTACCTGTAGTGAAAAAGGCTGTGTGCCATTTTAGCTCCTCCAAGCTCTTGGTTGTGTAGATTTTGCTTATTGCAAAATCAGATGTTGACTAGAGATGGTATTCACATTACCTCATATCACAAATGCAAAATCAAAGAATGCAACTATATGCAACCCGTGAGATTGTTTTTATCTGCAGCACTCTCATCTGCAATGCAAATGATCACATCTGGAAGAGCAAGTCACACATGCATTCAAAAAGAGCTGAAAATGCTTTCATTTCATCTGCCTGGTTTTTCTTCTGTTGTGAGATTTCTACAGTATTGCTCCACATCCAAGTGGCTCTAGCCTAGTCACTGTGTACGCTCAAAGTCTTAATACCGAACTTCCACTGAATAATTGGTGATTGCTCTTGTTTTGGACCAATACAAGGCCAGTGCCAAGCCTGCTGTATTGTTTTCCATACCCCATTGTGATTTTGTATTGCCTATGGTATATATAGTGTTTATGACCAATGCCATTTTAGTTTTTGTTGGCTGATATCCACTAATGCACTCATTGACTGTTGATAATGACAGTTTGCTATGGTGAAATAAAGTTCATATGTTGTTGAAGCTTCTGTGTGTTTCCCTTGTGTGAAATTTTTCTGAATTAACCAAATCTGATCTGAAATGAAAAAAAGGGGGTTTAATAACTAACTGCAGTGTCACAATATAATGTAATTTTTGATAGTCAGTTTCTGTAGACATACCAAAATCTTGCCAACAAGTAAATACTGAACATTTCCACCAGTATTGTCCAGGAAAAAAAACAAACAAACATCCAATTCATGTAATGCAATATGCAACTCTACCACCTGCAAAAACAACGCTCGCTTGCATGGAGACAGACAGAGCAAAAGTCACACATTTGAAGGGGAAAAAATGAAAAAAAGAGAAAGCCTATAGACAAGCAAGTGAGATTCTTAATGGAGGTACAGAAGATAAGCATAGACTACTCCTGCAAAGGAAAAAAAGGATGATATAAAGAAACCCGAATGCAGTGACAATCATTCTGTAGTCCTCTGTTAGTCAGCTGGTAAAGGGACTTTTTCAGTTCCTTCCCAAAAACAGGGACAGATAGAAAGACTAACTAACTGTCATCTGTCTGTCTGTTCTAAGTGAAGTTTTCACTTCATCTGTAGCATTATATGTTCACCACTAGATGTTCTCAGTACTAGTTTTCTGGGAAAGTTCACCCAAAAATGACAATTTTGTCATCATTTACTCACCCTCTGGTTTTTCCAAACCTATATGAATTTCTTTCTTCTGCTGAACACAAAAGTAGATCATCTGAAGAATGTTAACTAAACAGCTGCCGGTATTAACTTCCATAGTAGGGAAAGCAATGGCTACCAGCAATAATGACCAACATTCTCCAAAATATCTTCTTTTGTGTTAAAAAAAAGTAAGAAATTCATACAGATTTGGAAAACCCAGAGGATGAGTAAATAATGACAACATTTTGGGGTGAACTATCCCCTTTAGCTATTATTCTTTAGTTCTTTAATTTTATTAGCTATTATATTCCTCAGCTCTCTGTTTCATAATAAACAGTTTCTTAGATGTTTATTCTTTAATATCTAATACAACATTGGCTATCTCCGTTATCCGTTAGCAATTTTATTTGTAGGCTTACATTATATTGGTGCTTCAGATATTGGTATTAGTATGAAAAACCTTATCAGTCCGTCACTAAAATATTCATTTTGTTTTTGGATGAAAATATTCATACAGAAAAAGTCCATATAATTAATGTGATTTCAAAAATAGTGGTTTATGTTACATAACATGGTTTAAAATAGAAAATTCTGCAAATAATGCTAAGTAGCCTATACTATTCAAGTTAATTCATTGTGTCCCTTTTAAGTTTAATTTCCCCAGGTAGATTCAGTCATGTTTAAATTCGCCACATGGAACATCAATAAGCTTGGATTTGAAAGTGACTTATGTGTGATCACTGCTTCATACATCGCTATGCTATTGACAATAGTCAATATTCTATGCCAAATTTCACTGAAATATCTCTAATGTGACCACACCTTAAAGGGGTGCACTGTAGGTCATTACATTTTAATGTATTCACCTTCAGGTCATCCGAGATTTAAATGTGTTTGTTTCTTCATCAGAACAGATTTGAAATTTAGCATTACATTAAGAAATTTAGCGCTACATCACTTGCTCACCAATGGATCCTCTGCAGTGAATGGGTGCCGTCAGAATGAGAGTCCAAACAGCTGATTAAAAACATCACAGTAATCCACACGACACCAATTCATTAATTAATGTGGTGAAGAGAAAATCTGTGTGTCTGTAAGAAACAAATCCATCATTAAGGCATTTTAATTTTAAACTATCTTGCCAAAATACCAGTCCATAATCTATAACACTTGAAAGAGTCCACCAACATATTTGTTTAGAACTGTTTTATCTGTTTTCACTTGAACACGGTGCTGGATCTGCGCATTTCTCTCCTGATTCAGACAAAATGATTTTGTTACTGGAGACAGTAATGAATAGAGGACTCATATTTTATCAGGAAGCAACGGTTTGAAATTAAAAATGTCTTATGGCTTTGTTTTACAGGTTCTTGCTTCAAAAGACAGACTGCGAGTCCTGTGGGTTACTTGTGGATTATTGTGATGTTTTTATCAACTTTTTGAACTCTCATTCTGACGGCACCCATTCACTTCTGAAGATCCATTGGTAAGCAAGTGATGTAGCCTAATGCTAAATTTCTCCAAATCTGTTCAATGAAGAAACAAACTCATCTACACCTTGGATTGCCTAAGGGTGATTTTCAACAAATTGTTATTTTTGGGTGAACTTTTGCTTTAACTTCCAAATGTAATTTATTTATTTATTAGCCTATATATTGTAATTAATTGACATTAATGCATTTTTCACTATGGAGATGGACTAAGCGTCCAAATACGTTTTTGTGACACTGTAGGCTATCTATTGGGTAAAATAGACAAAAGAGGGCGTTCTACACCAGTATGAATGTGACCTGCAGAGGAACCTGACACGAGACACTTCAGATTGTCGTTCAGTCATGTGAACATTTCAGCGAGGGTCTTAAGAAACAATGTGGTCAACCGTAAGATCCGGTCAAAACGCTGAATTAGATGGGATTGCTTTGGGTGGGAGTATGCGGTGTCCGCCACACGGAATATATTTTGGTGTGCTTTTGGTTATTTTGTGACACTTAAAGAGACATGTACAACTTCACATCCCTGAGCGCTCATGGAGAGCCAGTGGGTCGCATTTTTCTAGGTTTCGCGCTTTCTCTCCTCGTGCTGTGGACGTTATTGGGGAATTTCACGGTTTGCGCTGCGGTTTTGCGCTTCCGTCACCTGAGAGGAAAAGTTACCAACATCTTCATCGTGTCTCTGGCGATGTCCGACCTGCTGGTGGCGGTTCTCGTGATGCCGTGGAAAGCGGCCACGGAGGTGACAGGACACTGGTTGTTTGGCTCTTTCTGCCAGTGCTGGGTGGCTTTTGACATTATGTGCTCCACCGCTTCCATCCTGAACCTGTGCGTAATCAGCTTAGATCGATACTGGGCAATTTCAAACCCGTTTCAATACGAGAGGAAGATGAACCGCAGAGTCGCCCTCGTTATGGTCAGCGTAACTTGGATCGTATCGGTGGCTATATCATTCGTGCCCGTGCAGCTGAACTGGCACCGGGCAGATCTGGGAACGGTCACCACAAGCAACTGGACCACCAAGGAAATGTGTGACTCGAGTCTGAGCAGAACCTTTGCCATTTCATCCTCTCTAATAAGTTTTTACATTCCCGTAGCAGTGATGCTGGTCACATACACGCGCATCTACCGCATTGCTCAGGTTCAAATCAAGAGCATCTCTTCGTTGGAGCGCGCAGCGCAGCGCGCACAGAACTGCAGAGCAGGTGCGCACACATGTCCTCTCCAACACCGCGCGATAAGAGAAACCAAGCTCTTTAAAACTCTCTCCGTGATTATGGGGGTGTTTGTGTGCTGCTGGTTTCCGTTCTTCGTCCTGAACTGTGCGGTTCCTTTCTGCCACAAGCCAAATTGTGTCAGCGAAGCCACTTTTAACGTGTTCGTGTGGTTCGGCTGGTGCAATTCATCTCTCAATCCGATCATATATGCTTTCAACTCTGATTTCAGAGATGCTTTTGCTCGACTTCTGTGCTGCCATGGCCTGTGCACCAAAACACCTCTTGATATTCAGTGCAAGGATCCGGTGTCCACTAATAATCAGGGCAGCTCTGTTAACACTATGGAGGTCGGTTATGTCAGTTTGGAGAAGGTGGACAACGAAATGCAACGTCCATTGGTGGAGATACATATGTTTGGAGATGAGAGTGAGGTTTAGCATACTAACTCTGAAGATGTGTGTCAGAGTAAATTACTTTTTTGTTAGGCTTAGGTGTAGGGGAGACAGGGCTAGTTTTCACAATTAATAATTCTCAGGATTTATTTTTGAAAGTCAATTTCTGTATAGGCACATACCTTAACGTTTTGCCTCCAAACAGCTTTAATAATGTCCAGGAAACAGGTTACAGTTCCATCAATACACATTGATTTTATCAGTGCATGTTGTCACACTGGGAACCTGCTGTTTATTGGCCGATTTGAGGGGAACGTCTTAGTTTAAATTGGTCAGGTAAAAATGCCATTTTCAATCTCAAAGTAAGAATGCCATTTTTAATATATATATATTTTTTTAAAGCGATTTTTAACAGTAAAGCAATCCATCCAAAATGTATGTAACAGGCTACAAAATAATCAAAACATTAGTTTAACCTAAGAGGTAACACACATTAAATTAAACTGATTGAAATTACATTTCATAAAACACATAGGACAAGTTGGTCCAACCTACTTTTGAATGTAATCCAGCAACATTAAATTAAGAACTTAAAGGGATATTCACCCAAAAATGAAAATTCTGTGATTATCTAATTATCCTCATGTCTACAAACCTGTGTGAACTTTCTTCAGTGAAAGATGACATTTTGAGTTTATCAACTGCTTGGTGAACAAAATTATTTAAAATATCTTCTTTTGTGTTCTACACATAAAGTCATACAGGAATGACATAGTTTTGGGGTGAACTATCCCTTTAACATTTATTCATCAGTGTTTTTGCCATGGTTAAAAGAGAATAAGTGAAAGAGGTTGTTTGTTCCTTGCGTGCGACAGTGAATTTACACCAGATTAACCTCTTGAAATGAATTTTGCACCAAACTTACATTTATGTAGAATACATATGTTTTTGAAAATACAGTTTTCATCTAAAATTTTCTCCACAGTATATTTCACCCTTGGCACAGTATATCCCAGTTTGGGTTTATTGTGTTCACTTTTTACCCACAATCTATAGTTTGGAGGATAATACATATAAATATCCTAAATTCTGAACATTTTGAACTTTAGGTGCCTGGAACCAATTGGATTTGACACCAAAACCTTCAACTTCCTTAGCTATAATCCTTGTGACAACTTCCTATGTCTCCTCATAGCCTAATCTTTTGTTTACTTCTTTGTATACATTTGAAGATGACTACTAAAGTCAGGTTATCACGGCCACAAAAAGAGGTCTGAGGTTTTAATAGACTGGATGCCAAAGAGCTTGACGAGTCCTAGTATCGTTTTCCATTAGGCACGAGTGCACATGATTACTTCCTCTCATAAATAATTAGTTGGCTGCAATCTCCCCTCAAGGAATGTTACATTTCAGTGTGCAAGGGATTTGGGACTATAGATTGATGTATGGCATGCTGATAATGCTTTGAAAGTGCATAGGGTTGTACATGTTGATGCTCGTCACCTTTATCAGGGTACAAGAACATGTTTTTTTTAATAGTGCATAACAATCAGGTATATTCTCTTCATTAGGTTGATCATCTTGACTTTGTTAAATTAGGTTGGATGTCTTCGCCTTCTCTGAAACATACAGTACTACTCATTATTCTTCTTTAATATGTTCGATTAAATTATTAATTGCAAGCAACAAATTGTAAGCACCAAAATTTATTTCACACAGGGTTTCCTGTAAAAGTTGCACACAGCAGCATTTCCTGAGCTTTGGGAGTCTTTTAAGGACACATTGGGCTAGAGTGTATTCACGACAGGCATGTTACATATGTAATTAATTCACAATGAGAGGTTTCAGTTGGCTCACAGCAATGAATAAAAGATAGGAAGGCAATCCCTAATCCCTTAATAAACTTATACAAAAAAAAAAAAGTATTTTGACAATTGCATTTTTTTGTTGATTTTAAGTGGCAAGTGCTGAACTACTATAATATTTATAAACTGTTGCAAACTGGTTTAAATATGTTTGTGAGTTAAATCACTGCTCAGATTTGTCGCTGAATGAAAAGGTGTTTAAAATTGATGGCCCTTGTAGCTAAAATTACATCACCGTCCTTGATGTCTTCATTGCTTTCATTTTGGAATCCACAGGGATGTTTGTCTATTGAAACTGTTAAAAAAGAGCCATGATAGAGCTGCTAAGAACAAGTACGTGCCTCTTTTTACCTAAACTCATCTTAATCTTAATGTCTTAAAGCGGGGAGTCTAATGGGAAGATGTGCCAGTAGGTGTAACATTTAAAATCCTTATTTGAGTTACTGTAAATCCCATATTCACAGAGGTCCCAAAATATTTGGACTCTTAAGTCACACTTAAAATATATAAATGTCATTGCAATATGGTGTGTGACCATATATGTCCTGTTTTTCCCAGATATGTCATGACCAGGAATTCTAAATTGTTTAAAATGTCTGGGTTTTGGCTTTGTCTTGCTCTCATTATACATTCCTTCATGCTCTCATCACAGTCCCCTACATTATGTATGCATATTTGCATTGCTTTGACTGTTCTTTGTACGTCCCACCCTCTCACACGCCACAATCATTCCCCGAGACGACTCGTTCTTCCCGAGTCACAATAAAGATTCGTTCAAAATGAACGAATCGTTCAAGAACGACCCAACACTAAAATACGATCTGAGAAGAGGAAGATGCGACAAAGAAGACCTAAGACAGTTGAGCAACTAGAAGCCTGTATTAGACAAGAATGGGACAACATTCCTATTCCTAAACTTAAGCAACTTGCCGCCTCAGTCCCCAGATGTTTGCAGACTGTTATAAAAAGAAGAGGGGATGCCACACAGTGGTAAACATGGCCTTGTCCCAACTTTTTTGAGATGTGTTGATGCCATGGCATTTAAAACCAACTTCTTTTTCCCTTAAAATGATACATTTTTCTCAGTTTAAACATTTGATATGTCATCTATGTTGTATTCTGAATAAAATATTGAAATTTGAAACTTCCACATCATTGCATTCTGTTTTTATTCACAATTTGTACGATGTCCCAACTTTTTTGGAATCGGGTTTGTAGTTTATTTGAAAAAAAAACTACTTAAATCACACAATTTTAGAATTTAAAAATGTGGCATATTTTTAAATATGTTTTATATAATAAAACAACAGACAGACTAATCAAAATTAAGACAAAGTATTTGGATGCTTTCTGGTTATCAAACGCTAATGGCTCATGTACATTGTTAATGTGATGGGCAACACCTGTGGTTTCTCTGCTAAGACACCTGTGAACTTGAGGAGAACTGACTTCACTCTGGGACAGGTTAAGGTAATTGCAAAAATGGCCCAGAAAAGTGATTAGTTATGAAAAAAGCTCTAGCATCATTTGTTTGAAGAGGTCACTTGATTTTGTAAGTAAGTGTGGCTTAAGTATCCAAATACTTCTTGGGGCCATTGCATATGCTTAATGAAGAAGAAAGAGTATCTCTCTCTGTCCGTGTGCTTGGTCATCAAACACTCACAGTAATGCTAGCCTGCACATGGAGTTTCCTGTAACTGGTCAAAGAGGTTAATGTGCACACATAGTGTTAGGAGATCAGTCACTGAGGGACGAAACACAAACAACAGGAATGAATGAAGTGTGTGCTATTTATTTTTAAGTATTAAACATTATAATTGAACTGAAGTAATAGTAATCAATCATATAATCAGTTAAGATGGAGGCTTGTAAATAAATAATTTGTATTAGTTTTACCAAAAAAAAAAGAATTTTTAATGCTTAATTATAGTTTAATTAAAATTGATTGTCTATTTGCACTAATTAAAAATAAGTTCACCAGTGTGTAACATTTTTAAGTTTATTTTAGTTTTTATATTTATACAAAAAGGCAAATTTTCAAAGCAAGAGAGTGTGTGGGGGAAAAAATCTAGTTGAATATTTTCAAATTTGTCAGTTAGAATGTGTGTGAGCGTGAGAAATTTGCACATTTCATTATTGTCTATGTAAAACACACATACACATGTCCTAAATTGTATAAGATTCTTGTTGAAATAAAACTATTGCTGAAAATTTGATCTGAAACTGTTAATGGTATCATGCCATTTCCCTTTTCATTATTAAATCACATGAAATTATTATTATTACCTGACTTTAATGTATGCCCATATACATTTTTCCAGGAAGATAATTGTTTTAGGAATCTGTACATCAGGATTAACATGGTACAGGCCTAATGACAGGTTAAAGAACCACACTAATTAATTATATCGATCACTCCAAGAACTGAATATCAGAGAACTATTGCTTAGAGACATCTAGTGGCTGATGCGCGCTATAAAGTTATATTAGCTTCGTGAACATTTAGCAGGTGTTTATATGAGATATATGCATATGTAATGACTTTTTATTCAATAACTTTGTACTTGGACCAAGGTTCCAGAGCGACCCTAATTTGAGTAATAGTAATAATTCATACATAATTGTTTTATCAGTTATCTGAAGTTATCTGAACTATTAATTAATAGTTATATACTGCAAATAAACTAATTCCAAGTATTTAAGCAGAAGCAAAAATGCTTTATAAGATCATAAGAAACAATTTCCGTCAACTGTGTCCAAACAGTGTGTGTGTGTGTGTGTGTGAGACTTTTAATTTGTACACCCCTTAAACCGGAACTGATGTCCTCAAGTCTGCAAGAACATCCTACAGAGACTGAAGGAAGTGTGGATTGCTCCGTAAACATCATTCAATACGTTTGTTTTCTATATTCGTATGTGCGTTTGTGTTTCCCCCACCAAAATATCCGCGCGCTCTTTCGGGGTTGGTGGGTTTTAATCTGACCGTGTGTTTGGCTTCTGGAGCGCATTGTAGAGCCCAAAGGAGAAGATGTCTGCAGAGGAGGCGGATAAAACCACCACCACTGATGCGAGTCCAGGAGACGAGGAGGAGGAATGGTTGTACGGGGGTCAGTGAGCGCCAAATCTGACCTGCACTCTTGTACTTTGTTATTTTTAACGGCTAGGCGAAAAGTGGTTATTAATATACAACACCATATATTGGCATGATTAATGTAGGGGTATTTGTACTGCAGTGTTTTGAGATAAGATACCTGTCACTAGATATTTAAACTTCAAGTCCGTGGTTTAATTCACATTTCTCTTTACGAGGGAATAGATATAGAATTTCAGATTTGTTTAGGTTCTGTTCGAGATTCTGTTATTCTTTGAAAAAAATCGTTCCGAGGGTAGCTGATAGACAGTGTTGGGGAAAGTTACTTTTAAAAGTATTGCGTTACTACCTAAAAAAAGTAACTAGTTACGTTACTTAGTTACTTTTTTATGGAAAGTAATGCGTTATATTACTTTTGCGTTACTTTCGCGTTACTTTTTAAATATACGCAGGGCTTGCTTGTTTTTAATATAAGAAGTTCTATTTATAGCAAATGTAAAAGCCCTTTCACACCAACAAGTGTAATGAATAAACCTCAGGCTGAAGGAAAAGTAAATTCACGTCTGTACAGTAGAATGCAGGAGAAGAAACACTCTTCAGCAATAAAAAAACAATGAAGCACAATTGTTAGTTTCTCTAAAGTCGTTTTTGCTTATTAGTATGGTTGAACTGGATCAGCAAAGGTCAGCAGCAAAGATATTGGTTAATAAAATGGGATTAGATACATTTGTGTTATTTAACATATTTAATTATTGCAGGTTTGCGTCATATTCTGAGTTTGCATGTCACTGTTTTAATTCATTTTGATGAGTACTTAATCTGTTTTTTGTGAGTGGGATGAATTAATGCACATTCACATTTAGTCTAGAACTACAGTAACATCATGTTCACACAGCGCACACAACTCCTCGGCACTTCCGATTTCTCCCAATATGGGGACAGGAGACTTGTCAGTCAATAAATGGGAAAACAAAGTAACTGGAATTACTTTTTTGAAAAAGTAGTGCGTTACTTTAGTAGTTACTTGAAAAAAGTAATCTGATTACGTAACTCGCATTACTTGTAATGAGTTACCCCCAACACTGCTGGTAGATTCCATTCAGTATTCTGCATTTCGAATCTGTTCAAGATTCTTTCTGTTGCTACTTTATGAGATTCTACTTTGATTCACATTAAGACCCGATTCTTCGCTGCTTGAATTGAATTTTTCAAAGATTGTCTTTGAGAATTCTGTTTGAATCTATACGATTTTGAGATCACTGTTTTGAGAAAATGGTAGAATCTTTTCACGCATTCTTATGGTTTCGTTTTTGTTAATATTAGCTACTTTGAGATATAATTAAAGAAATGATTTCACTTTCTGAGGGGACCGAAAGGGAATTCAAATCTCGGATTGATTCTCATGTAGAATGATTTTGAGATTATTTTCAAGAATACTTTTCAAAACCTGTTCATGGTTCTGTAAGGTAAATATTTATATTATGAGCTGCTCCTCTTAACATACTTACCAATAGAAATTGGGTACCTTGTGCTCATCATCATTTTGTTGCTAATGCATTGTTTTTTTGTTATAGATGAAGGTGAAAGTAAAGAAACTGAAGAAGAGGAGGCCAAACTGACGGCAGCCATCAGGTGAGAAATGACATGTTTACTGTTAGTGATGTAGTGGCTTTTCCATTTTTTAGATGCCACGGACCCCCAAATATCAATGTCAAAATATTATTTTGAAAATATTTCGTTTCTGTTAAGCTAGGTATACATTTTTTTTCTACAATTTATTGAGATGCACCTGTAGTACTGTACTGTTAGATGCACAGTTTTTCTCTAAATGTTTCCACAGACCCTTTAGGACTCCCTTGCGGGCCCTCTGGTGGGGGGGGGGTCACTCGTGTATACAAGTGGTCTGAATTTTTAGAAGATGTGAAGCGATTAATGATATTAAAAATTGCAGAATGATCGCACACTGCTTTGTTACTTCCAGGTGTTTTCACTGAATAATATTTTGATTATATGACATGGGCTTTTAGAAATTCAACATTCATTGCAGGAACATGCCATGCTGCTTTTTAACAGCATATCCTGTAAAACATATGCCAATACTAAGATTTGCCTTTTTAAGTTGACTAAGCGGTTCGTCTGTATTTGTTTTCATCATTCTTCTAATGCTGATCCGTCTATGTCTGCAGTGCGACCTCTGCTCCTTCTGTTACCGAGGAGGTCACCGCGACCACAAACAACACCACTACCACCATCACCACCACTACTGGAAATGGTGTGGCCAGTCAGGTAACAAATAAAACTACTGTTAGCTGCTTCATTCACTTTTGATGGATTTGATTTAAATTATGATTGCTGTTGTGCTGAAATATATTTAAAGGGGTCGTATGATGATTTAAAATGTTCCTTTTTCTTTGGAGTGTTACAAGCTGTTTGTGAATATATATAAGATCAGTAAAGTTGCAAAGACTAAAGTCTCAAACCCAAAGAGATGTTCTTTATAGAAGTTAAGACCCGTCCACGCCCTCCTAAAACGCCTCTTTTAAACACGCCCCCACACGTCTACGTCACTGTGTGGGAAGATTTGCATAACACCGCCCAAATGTTCACGCAAACAAAGGCGGCACAACTTTTATTCTCGCTGTAGTATTGTTTCCAAATATGGTAAGGGGTGTAACATTTCGTCACAAGCTTGAGGTATTCGGCCAATCACAACGTACTGGACAGCTGGCCAATCAGAGCACACACCCCTTTTTAACAGCGTAAACACATTGCATTACACCAAATACCCCAAATAATGTTATTTTTAGCAACGTCATGACCCTTTAACATCAGCTTCAATACAGTACACATACAGTATATATTTATATTCATATAATTTATAGTTTTTATATATATATATATATATATATAAATATAAAAACATTTAAAAAAATCTGAAATGTATACATGCATGTGTGTGTATTTATATATAAATAATAAATATACACAGCACACACACATAAATTATGTAAATAAAAACGTTTATTTTGGATGCGATTAATCTGTTGATGCATCACAAATGAAGAGAACACAAAAAAACACTCGTTTTGTTTGTCTTAGGAGGAAGCACCTGGAGAAGATGAAGACAGTGAGAGCGATAGTGATGATGACGATGATGACGTCCGCGTCACCATTGGCGATATAAAAACAGGAGCGCCACAGTACGCGTAAGCATCCAAAGATTGTGCTCACATTCTGAAGATTATAAGGTTCACACTGGATATTTGATAGATAACCTGACACCGCCTGCAATCCAAGGTGATGGACTGTTGACGATTGAAGTGCTGAAGCCTGTGCATTTGAGCATCCGTATTTACCATATCGTGATATGCTTTATGTATCTATATCAGTGTTTAGATGTAAATAAAAGCCTAGATCAAACCTCATCAACCTTCATAATGTAAAGTGATCATATTTCGTTACAAGATTTGGATTAAACTGCTTGATTCATCTGGATTAATTTTATGATACATTTATGACCTTTTTGCATTTTACGATCTGAGCTCAGGAACCGAAACAAAAAGGTTTCATCAAAAATAAATGTTTAAAAAGAGTAAATCAAATTTTTTTTTTTTTTTTATTAACCAAGGCCTTACGGGTTTGGAATGACATGAGGATGCGTAAATGATAACAGAATTATTATTTTTGGGTGAGCTATCCCATTTATGCTTTGAATTTCCAAATATAATTGGCAGTACTGGCATTACGAGGTCCTCCAAGTGTACTGAAGTAATTAGCGATGTGAAGAGAAAAAGAATGAATAATAAATTCTCTCTCTCTCTCTCTCTCTCTATATATATATATATTATGTTAATATTTTAAATAACATTGTTAGAAAAATGCTTTTCAAAATATGTGCTGATATTTGGATTGACAACATAGTTTATGAGTGCGATATTGCTTTTATACAAATATACAAAAACACTAATATTGGGTAACTTACATTTTAGACACAATATTGCCAGTCTATTTTTGTTCTGCTCACGAAAAGGATTCTAAGCAAAGCCAAAGCCAGGAATTAAATATATATCAATATCAAATATATTTATATGATATTACGCAACGCCTGAAAATAGGCTTGTTGGAAGTTATTTTCAGGCGCTGCGTAATATCATTGCGCTTGCTGCACCCATGGTAGGGCAGCAAAGTTCCTTGATTATTGCACCGGAATGAGAGTATAGTTACTAGCCATATCGGCCTACAAAATTGCAGCTTTTAATTTTCCGTCGGTCTTAATACACAATGTAACTACAGAATAGTCAAGTTTTAAATAGGAAAAATATAGAAACTCTTTGGTCATTTTTGAGCAAGATGCTAATGGTCTAATCAGATTCAATGATCTATGCCAAGCTAAGCTAAAAGTGCTACCACCAGACCCGGAGATCGGCTGAATGGATTCGAAAAAAGTAAAACTCGACTGTTTAACCCTAGGGGAGTTGGAAAATTTGCCTATTTTCAAAAATAGTGGCGTGTTCCTTTAAATGAGAAAATGATTGAACTGATATGATAAAAAAGCCACATGCAAAATTGCAAAAATAACTATACATCAGTTCAAAATAAATGTTGCAAGTCTCAACATTCACTACAGTGGTGTTTAACAAACTTTTAAAAAATTCATTAACTGAAACAAAACTAAAATAAAATGAAGTGCAGATATTAGATGAAAAACTTAGCACTTAAATTACAAAAGAAACAAACTGAAATATAAAGTAAAACTAAATACTTGCCAAGCACATAACAAATTACTATAATAGTATGTATAATTACACTGGTTGCCTGGCAACTGTAACCAACTAAACTTGTGTTACACCCCTCAATTACCCATTCTTCCTAATTTGGGCTTGTCCTGACTCCTGACACATCTTGCACTGTATTTCTGAATTCAAACACATTTCTTCATTGCTCTCTCATGTAAATGATGAAGCAGACTTGCACAAATATGCCATCTGCTGTATAGTCATATCGCCCAGCCCTACTGAGGTGTGTGTGTGTTATGTATGCATCTGGAATACAGAGTTGAAAAACACAGAAATGTATGTACACCTTCATTAAGCTGTATGTTTGTATTTGTTGCAGGAAGATTCCCGGGACCATAGATGTGATTGGCGGACAGACTGCCTCCATTAGCAGGGTGGAAGGACGACGTCGCCACAATCTGGAGGGGAATAACATCCAGGTTACACACATGACATGCTCTCATGCTCTCCTCAGTCTCCACTGTAAAACTGACATGCTGGAAACATATCTGGGAACTGAATCATGTGACTTTAACACTTGTAGGTGATCTCGGAACATCCCAGCTCTGAGGCTGAACCCGCCAAGATGCCTCCTCCTTTCTTTCCCCCGGGACCGCTGCCTCCAAACATCCCACCTCCTCCATTCCTCCCTCCTCCTGTCAGTCAGGCTCCACCTCTGATCCCACCTCCACGTAAGTCTGACGACTGTGAAATTGTATTAATTTATTTAATTTTTTATTTTAAATCCACGATGAATGTATGAAAAAATCACTTTCAAAACCATTGACACTGTGGCTTCTCATAGCATTTTTGACTCTTATTTTTTAGATTTCATTTCTTTTGTTACATTTTTGTGTATTTGTTATGGGCTATGTGGTTTTGTAAGCAATGTTTTCATGTTTCTTTTTTTTTTTTTTACAGGGATGCCCATCACCATTCCTCCACCCAGTAAGTTGAATATGCAATAACATAACAAACATAGCAAAAGTAACTCCGGATTAACCTCTCAAATGTTTCCAATGCACCTGTCTACTGTAATGGCAAACTTTCTGACTGTGTGTAAAATTTAATAACAAGTCTCTTGTGTTTACTCTTTTTTTACTGTTGATATGTCTCTGTTTAAATCTTGTTTCTGTTTGTGTTGTAGATTTTCCCCCTCCTACTGGAGGACCTCCTCCTTCACTTATCCCTACTATGGACAAGTAGGCATAGCTTCTGTACTCAACGAATAGTTTTTTTCAACATTAGTGTACATCGACGGGTATTTAAAAAATAATTAAATACTTCTATTCATCAAGGATGCGTTAAATTGATCAAAAGTGATAGGAAAGACTATTAAGCTGTCACAGAACACTGAAGAATAAAGTAATGGCTACTGAAAATTCAGCCTTGCTATCACTGGAACAAACTTTTTTTTTAAATAGAAATGAGATATTATTAAAGTAGATATTATTTGATTTTTTTTTTTATAATTTTCATAATATTTAATTAAATATTTGTGTTTAGAGTCAAACCAAAAATTATTCAGACACCAGATAAAATTTTTGATACTTAACAGAACCTAAATATGTTCCAAATAGTTCCTTCTAAATAATTACATTGTGTTTTTTTTTTACATGACAGTACTGCACTGTTAGATTTGTTTACTTATACATTTTTTTAATTATTTATTTTAATCAAATATTATTTATGTATTTATTTTAATATTTTTTACACTGTTTTTCTGTAAACTGTTACACAGACCCCTAGCACTCCCTTCCGGCCCCTGGTCTTGTATAATAAAATTAACAAATATATTTTAGTATATAGAGTATTGCAGTAGATATACAGTAAATCTACTTATGCCTTTGTGGACATTTAAGTTTGAGAGTTTGAAATATTTTAAATAGTTTTTATTCTTCCCTGCAGGTTTGGACTGAGCAATAAATTTGAGTCTGAATTTCCCTCAGCCCTTACAGGAAAGGTAAGTGTAACTTTAGTGGCTGTTCCGTCTCAAGAAAATACTGTTAAATGCATAATTATTCACTAATCCCAATGAGAAGAAGTGAAAAGCGCTGTTGCTGGCAATAAGAAATGAAAGGAAATAATTCTGTTAATGCTGTTACTTTATATAATGCTTAAAGAAATTATTCACCCCAAATTTTTGTGGAACGCGAAATGAGATGTTTAGCAGAATGTTCAAGCTACTCTTTTTCACGGTAACTGGTTGTCAAGCTCCAAAAAGTGTGTATTACCCAATGTGGTGAGTACTACCACATGCAATTTTGAGGTCACACATGGGTTATTAGAATACTGCTTCATTTGTTCATTGGCAGGTCGCACCGGAGGAGTTCAAAGCCAGCATAAACCGTGTGAACAGCTGTCTGAGGAAGGCTCTCCCAGTGAATGTGCGCTGGCTGCTGTGCGGCTGTCTGTGCTGTTGCTGTACTCTGGGCTTTAGTCTGTGGCCGGTCATCTGTCTGAGCAAGAGGGTGAGTGTGTTCAGAGTCACTCGCTTAATGGAAGTTTAGCTTTATCGAAAGCATTTGTGGCATGTTGTCAGGGTTTGAAAAAATGCAAATAGTGGGTGTTTAGAAATGCATCTACAGTGGAAATCTGTGGGTTAGGGATGTAATTTTTGCGTTTAATACAGACAGTTTTGCAGTTTAAATGACTGTTTTAATTCAAAAGAATTAACAAGTGCTTTAACAGAAATACAAACTTTACATTTAAACATATAGTATGTCTTACATTTGATAATTTTTTCCTTTTTTTGACAGAATGAGGGACAAAATTGTCTTGGATAACTGACAACAGTAGACCTGGTCAGATTTTTAGTGCTGTCAAACGATTAATCGCATCCAAAATAAATGTTTTTATTTACATAATATATCTGTGTATATTTATTATGTATATATAAATACACACACATACAGTATATATATATTGAAAATATTTACATGTATGTTTATTTAGATTCATATAATTTATATTAAATATAAATATATTTAAATTTAGACGTAACATATTTTTTTTAAATATATACATGCATGGGTGTGTATTTATATATATATATATATATACATAATGTACACAGCACACACGCATATACTATGCAAACAAAAACCTTTATTTTGTTTTTTTAAAGAAATTATCAAATGTGACAGTAATTATATTTAATTACAATCTTACAAAACATTTCTATTTCAAATAATTGCTGTTCTTTTGAAACAGAACAGAACAGTTGTTTTCAGCTTTGATATTAAAGGGTTAGTTCACCCAAAAATTAAAATTAGGGTGTGTTTTATTCACCCCAGAGCCATCCTAGGTGTATATGACTTTCTTCTTTCAGACGAATCCAGTCAGAGTTATATAAAAAATTGTCTTGATCTTTCAAGCTGTTTCATGGCACTCAGCGGGTGTTGCATGCATCAGTCCAAAAGAAGTTAAATAAAAAGTGCCCATTCATTAAAAAAAAGCATCTCACACGGCTCCGGGGGGTGAACAAAGGCCTCCTGTAGCGATTCGATGCTACAGGAGCATCCAAAGGAGCCGTGTGAGACACTTTTTTTTTATGGATGGGTGATTTTATTTCACTTCTTTTTGGACTGAAGCACTGCAACACCCGCTGACTGCAATGATAGATCTTGGAATAGCCAGGACAATTTTATTCTAACTCCGACTGGATTCGTCTGAAAGAAGAAAGTCATATACACCTAGGATGGCTCTGGGGTGAGTAAAACACAGCCTAATTAAAATTTTTGGGTGAACTAACCCTTTAATAATAAATGTTCCTTATGCACCGAATCAGTATATTAGAATGATTTCTGAAGGATCAAGCAACACAAAAACTGTATTTACAAATTCAGCATTGCCATCACAAGAATAAATTATATTATACAAATTTTAAAATAGAAAAGTTATGTTTTAATTTAATAATATTTCACAATATTGCTGTTTTGACAGTATTTTTCATCAAATGCAGCCTTGTTGATCATATGAGATCCATAAAATCTTACAGACCCCAAACTTTTGAACAGTAATGTACATTAAAGGACATAAATTACACGCTTTTTTCTAGTGATTTTACTTATCATATACTGAATAATGTGTCTTTTTCGCCTATAGACACGCAGATCCATAGAGAAGTTATTGGAGTGGGAAAACAGCAGATTGTATCACAAGGTATTTTCAAGGTTGCTTGCTTGTTTGCTGTTTGTATTTTCCTGTCTGGTGCTAATTTTACTACATGCCCTCTGTTCATTTAGTTGTGTTTGCATTGGAGGCTCAGCAAAAGGAAGTGTGACACGAACAACATGATGGAATATGTAAGCCAACTACAAACACGCCCTGATCTAATTGCACAGTGACTGTTTCAAATACAATAAACCGTGAAATGCGTAATTTCACATTCTCTGTCCTTTTTCTAGGTAATCCTAATAGAGTTTCTACCCAAGATTCCCATCTTCAGGCCGGATTAGCAGTGGCGGGCTGGAGCTCATCCCACCGGCGTGGTCTTCCTGAGGTGCCTTTCTCCGGTACTGTCATGGTCTTATCATGTGGCCTCGTCCTTTTTCCCTCCACACTCTGAGCAAGAGACTCCCCTCACGTCCGAGCGCCACTTACAGCACTCCTCACGAGAAAGCACTGTTTACAACACACACATACATACGCACAGACCGTTTTGGTTTTGCAAGCGCATGAATACACACAGAGAGACCTTTACTGTCACATGACTACACGAAGTCTGCGGGGAAGCCACGGGAAGTAACTTCTGAAGCTCCAAACTGGAACGTCTACTATACGTTAATCAGATCACACAGACTGCGCAGTGTGCACTAGCTAAGTGACGTCCTGTTGCCGACACTGTGGAACGGATCAGTGCAGAATGGCTTGAAGAAGCGACAACTGTAGAATTAAAATCTTTTATTGTATTAATTAAAAAAAAGATGGATGTTAGGAATGATTGATACGGATTTTCAGTTAGCCGAGAGCCAAATGGACACGGTCAATGCACAATACATAGTTCCCCATCTCTCCTTCTTACAAATGATCATCTATATACAAAGACAATCAAACACTGACTGTGCCACGCACCATCTAGACTCTGACAGGACTTTGGAGTCTAGTTGAAGTCATGGACCTGATGTGGTCCAGGTGCACCTATTGGTAGTGATGCAGCACAGATTAGATTTGTTTTGCTGTTTTTGAGTATTTTTTTATCCTTGTTTACTTGCTCAGTTTAAAAAGAAGAGCAGCAAATGTTTGTTTCTTGATTTGTGTGTGTGTGGGTGATTTATTTCTGTCTGTCCCCAAGATATTTTGTTTGTCATTTGGTTCACAAGTGAGACAAATCAACTTTCTCACAATTTTGTTTGGTTAAAGTTAAACAGTTCATTAAAACAAATTATTGGGGGGTCAAACTAAATAAAAAAAATAGTTATGTTTTTTTGTTTGTTTGTTTTTTATATATATGAACCCACAAATATTGGCGTTTCTCCAGGACAGAAATACTTTTTATTTAAAGGGGTCCTATTACGCAACTTTAGTTAGTCAGTAATGTTGTTGTTTGAGCATAAAAAAGATCTGCAAAGTTACAAAGCTCAAAGTCCACTTCAAAAGGAGATATTCTATTTAACAGAAATCACTTTTCAAAAACTACAACGAGCGACTCGTTTGGACAACAACGCATATTTTCCGGGATTTGTGATATCACAAATATTGACGAATGGGACGAGACCTGGTTGAGCTGCACTAGAGAAGGCAACGAGTGTTATCACTATGTCGGAGACACACTAGCTTTCCCAAGGCAGATGAACTTAGAGTGATTACAATCATCCGGGTTTAAATCGCGCTCAAATTGATTTGATACTGATGCAATATTTACACTGAAGCTAGCATGGTAAGGGGCATGACATTTCCCGACCAG